AATAAGAAGGAAATGGACCCGGGCAACCTTACTATTCAGATCACCCAGAGCAGAGTTCGTTGGCGCATATGTACATGGAGTCCTGACCTCCAATAAAATTGGTACATGTATGGACAACGAAGAAGAGTTTTACAAAACAGTCCTGGAGGACTTATACCCATATCATACGTAAGCTATTTTTGCCAAAGTATTGAATCAATAATTCGATGAAATTATTTACTACAATTATCCAACTAAATACTATTATTTTTATTCTGTTCAAATGTGATGACAAAATGAAACACTTTCAATACCAAGAAAAATATTAGAACTCCAAATGAGTGAGATTTTTTGGCAATATGTAACTTGTACAACTGAAAGTAGCGGTGAGAATTGAATAATGCATTGAATAGTGGTTATCTTTCTTCTGCTTTTTTCTACTTACAAATTTCTCACACGTTATACTAGACCAATGTATGAGAAAGATTTACTTTCAGAAAATCTAGAAAAATCAGAATGAGGAAGCTTTGTCTTGTCTGTCTGTTGTGTTGTTTGTTGCTTGTCTCTCTGTGTGTTAATACGTGCATTACGCAAAAACTTCTGCACGAATTCGTATGCAATTATGAAAGATATGTTTCAAAGTTTTAGCCCAATATCGAGTACCAGTTTGCTCCACACATTTTGCTACGGAGCTAAGTTTTCGCGTATTCAAATTTCATGTGAAAGTCAAGAGAAAAGTTAGTTTACAATGAACAAGCGCTCATTCAGTATCGATATAAAGGACAGCAACTCAACTCTGTCTGATTTATCAGAATTTTCTTCTTATTAGCCCAAAGTTACAAAGCCTGGTTATTATATCAATGTGAACCTTATCTCAACTGAATCCAGCTCAAATTATCGGGTGGTTTCAGTCCAGGGATCGGACAGCTGGGGTTCATTCAAATACACATTTCGAATATAAGAAGCTTCCATTTGTTGACAAATTATCCCAACAAATAATTTCATGTTTTAAAGATTTCATGCTTATCAAAATTGCGAAATAGAATCTAAGACGAATTTCTGATTTGTTCACTAAACTGAAAGACACCTTATAGTTTCTCAAAAATGGGTTCGTAAACTTACCTGTCAGGGATGTGATGGCTGTTGGTATAAAATAATAATATTTATTTCATGCTTTACAAAAAATTTTCACATTGTTTGCACTCGCCGACACACAAAATAGTGTGAAACATTCAGACATAAATCAAACATCGTCATACATAAAATTATCAATTACAAACGTAGGAAAATGACATAAGTTTCGAAATTTATACTTTAAAAATTCATTCGCATCATAAAATACTGTTTAAATCAGAAAAGACTTAACATTTTCAACAGAAGTAGGTATCTCCAAATTCCTAACAGACAGAGGAAGCTCATTAAAAATTTATGCCATGTAAAATGGCCCCTTTCGAGTGATACTTAACCTGCACAGATCCGACCTCAGATGACCACCATATCTGGTGGAGTATCCATGAGTACTGCCAGTCTCGGCGTATGAGAGTCGATTTATATGTGCAAATTCTAAGGCTTCAAGAATATTGATATATTTGGGAATGTTAACATTTTGAGATTAATAAATGCTGTCCTGAAATATTCTCGGTAACTGAAACCTTCCAATATACGTATGGCTCTTCTTTGAATTCTAGAAATTCTAAAAAGAAAAATACAAAAACATTGAAGAATCACTCAGAAATGAATCGGCAGTTCTCTTTGAGGTAAAAATCATCTCAACCGTCTTCCCATCATTGACAGGTAACCTGTTTAAGGCACACCAATTTGAGGCCATTAATCTTGCTTCGTTACCTTCGACCAGTGCAACACTCTGCTCACCTAACACTGCGGAAACTATAGTGTCATCAGCAGATAAAATAGTCCGGAATATCCCCAGGAAACTTGGTAAATCATCAATGTAAACCAAAAATAGAAAAGATCCCAACAGGGATTCTTGTGAAACTCCTGGCAGATTAACTGGCTTCCTTGATGACCAACTATTGTTGTAAAAAACAGTCTGGAATCTGTTCGATAAATGAGGTGATAATATTGAACAACTATCAGCGCAGCATCCATAAGCCTTTTGTTTCTCGAGTAAGATCTCATGAGACACACAGTCGAAGGCTTATGTCAGATCCAAAAATATTGTATACGACATCTTTCCCTCCTCAAAACACTTCAGAGTGTGTTCAACAGTGTGCTTCTTCCTTGTCTGAAACGAAACAGAGCAGAAGTGAACAAGTTCCTCCTCTCAATGTAAAGAGTTAACTGTGAACATATCAACTTTTCAAACACCTTTGATATAACAGGTACCAACGATATTGGTCTGTAGTTTCCAATGTCATTTGGGTTATGTTTTTTGAATAAAGGAACTACTTAGGAGATTTCTAAATAATCTGAATATGTATTATTTCTTATACATATGTTAAACAGCTTCGTCAGAGGTGCAACCACGTTATTAACATTTTTATTCGACAGCACAGATGAGAATCCATAAAAATCTCCACTTTTACTCGATTTCAAACTTGTCAGAGCACCTCGAACAGCATTAAATGACACCACTTTAGAAGCAAACGTATATTGGACATTACAATGGTTGAAACATCGGATGCTACAGCATGGAACTGATAGAACCAATACATTATTCGAAAAAATTATTATATAATCAAGAAAAAAAATTGGAAAAAATTCATTAGTGCGAATGAAAGAAATTTGAGTGTATTTGATTTAATGTTAATTAAGATAGGTAAAGGGTGTTTTTTTTTGAGGTATAGAACTTTAAATTGCAATAAAACAACGATGGATCATTCGATTGACAAGAATTTTTTTTATTCGAAAGATAATCTTGTGGAATTATATTTTAAATATGATTTCTGGCATATGACCGCAACCGCTGGCTTTATATTGGCCGTACATGGGCAATAACACGGCGAATATTGTCTTCCAGATTGTCAAGCGCTTGTGGCTTATCCGCATAAAACAATGACTTTACATAGCCCCACAGTAGTCTAGCGGTGTTAAATCACAAGATCTTGGAGGCCAATTCACAGGTCCAGAACGTGAAATTAGGCGGTCACCAAACGTGTCTTTCAATAAATCGATTGTGACATCATCGTTTTTGTTGAAGTAGCCATTCAACCAGAAGTGCGCCTCATCGCTAAACAAAATTCGCTTATGAAAATTGCGACACGTATTCCGCTAAGAACCATTATTTTCGGAATAAAATTGCACTATTTGCAAGCGTTATTCAGGCGTGAGTCTATTCATGATGAATTGCCGAACCAAACTGAGAATAAATCACTTCTCAGGTGTTAAATCGGTCGCCATCTTCAACAGTTATGCCAACTTAAAGTTCTATACCTCTGAAAAAAACACCCGTTATATGGAATATAAATATAGATATATTTGGTGTGGCAATTTACAGATGAACTGCTAGAAAAATCTATAATATTTCGGGAGCCCATATGAAATCATTCTTACATAACAAAACGTTGAATTAGTTCATATATTAGACAGAAATTTATTGAAATAGTAAGAATAGAAACGGCGGCTGATTTAAAAACTTGACCAACGAAAGCGGAGATCTTCGGAGTTTGAGTTTCATTTATTCTAAAACATTTGTTGTCTATTTATTAAATGACATGTGAACAATCAAATACTGCTCAAACTTTCGGCAAGTAAATTAGTGGAAATGAATTCTAAATCAAATTGTTGAACAAATTTTCATTAATTTTTTTTTATATCGTTAAATTCCTTATACAAATAAGTATACTAAATCTTCATCGAACAATTCACGAAATTCCCGAAGTTTTTTTCTGAACGTCAAATTCGGGACATTCCGTAGTACGCCAATGAGATTTAGCGAATTCGTCGTGAACGTGTGCGGAAAAAAGTGGCCGTTTGGGCGTCTGATTCCCGAACGCGATCGATGGCCGTGGCTCCGGCCGGTCGCGTCGCCCAGCTTCGAAGTCGCCGAGTCTGCGGGAACCTCGAGGGACAACGCTTCTTGGGCCGAAGGACGAACGCCGCCGCGTCCGCGAAATTCGGCTACTCGAGACAGAAAAATGCCGCTTAGTCTGAGGGGGACGGAAACTATACAAAAACACCTGGACTAGCCTCGAGGTGGCAAAAAGAGACAAAAACGCCTGCAGATGTCTTTAAATTTGGAGTTTAAACCTAATTACGCCAACTTTGGAATGTCGACGTTTCATATGTAAAGTTAAACGTCTTCAGGAATTATGAAATTGAAGTTCTTGGCTGCGAAGTATAAGAAAATCACCGTTGATAACACCTCAAGTATAAAACTTCCAACGAACTTTGAAATCTGCTTTATGGACCTATTAAAACCTAAAACAATTATTCATATGTTGAAATTTTCCCTTATTTGTCGGTGCGTTTTGTGCCAATAATCTCAGAAACGTCGCGATCGATTTGTTCGAATTTTTCATTGGTGGATTGTGATAAGATTGATTTGAAATTTTATGTTTGTATCATTTCAATATATTCATAAATGAAAAAGTGATAGCAATTTAAAGAACGGCGTTGAAAAATCGTTAAAATACTATACAATAACTGATAAGGGTTAATTAAACTTCACAATAATATAGCACCTATATCAGTTCATAATACATGATGAAGATATTCTGTAAATTGTTCGAAATATAACCATAAGTGCCCAGTAAGTCGAAAAGAAATCTGGTAGTAAGGAGCTATATTAGCATACAAAACTGTAAGAGTTGAATGAATAATGGAAACGTTTCTGTTGATGAGTTCTACAAACTAGAAATGGTACATTTCTGCCGAAAGTAGAATATAAAATAAATTCTGCAAGGATCAAATGGCGATCATTAAATGAACTTTTTTTTCAATTCAGTGGACCTACAGTATAAGGCCGGTTTCGAAAGGCTATTGGGATTTTAATCAGTGTACATTACCCAGCATATATCACTATTTGAACTACTTAAATCATGGACAAACACAAGCACCGCTGTCATCAGCGGGGCTCGAACCCGAGTCGTACCGCACCTAAGTCGGATGTTCTACCGACTTAGCCACGGAGACCGGCATTAAATGATGTATGATGTTCTTTACGATCATAAAATGCACATCAAGATCAAGGGGTATGTTTGCAAGCCTACCTTAACCCATGAAGCAGAAATCTGGACAACGAAAATAGACCACGCATAAAAACTAACTACACACAATTGAGATGAAGATGTGGCGGTTGTGTAACCCACTTAGATAGAGCCCGCAATGAGAGATAAACTGTCAATATACTCATTTTTATGTCATAAAAAGGAAAGTTTTTCGAATAATAACACTCATTCCTTTTTATAGGAAAACATCTTCAAGTTTCAGACTTAAGACATGTTACATATCATACCTACATAATATTCCAATGAATTCTATATAAATCGTGTTAGGTATACGACGTGAGGGTTAACTTTTCCAAGTTTCTACAACTTCTAAACATAGCTCGTTCGAAATTTCAGCGAAATAAAATTGAATGAACCGATATGAAAACAAGCGGACAAACGGCGACTGCTTTTGTTTTTGTTTCATGTGATCATATTTTCATATTTATAGTTGGTTGAACATGAGAATTTGTTTATTTGTAGAATTAATTCTTTGTATGTTATAACTTGAAAATTTCTCACCTTAAGAATTGAAACATCAAACGCATTATTTTGAAAATATATATGAAAACTAGCTGACCCGGCCAACGTTGTTTTGCCATAAAAATTATTATAATATATATATATATATATATATATATATATATATATATATATATATATATATATATATATATATATATAAGTACTTATTATATAAGACTTATATAATATATATAAGTCGCTTTCTCTGTAAATCTGTAATATCTTCGAAAATATTCATTAAAATCATATGCTGTTAAGGGCCATATAAATCTATATAAAATCTACAATGTATTTAAGGTATTTAATTGGATAAGGATTAATGTTGTATTGGTTAAATTCGTAATGTTAAATTCGCTTCGAAAATTAGCCATTATTTGTAAATGAGAGGTAATAATAAAAACTTGTCTTAAAATCACTGACTGAACAATTCTTTATTCGACTAGTTTCGCCTTTTACAGCATTATCAAGAAAAGCATTATTATCAAGAACAGCATTATTTGTAAAAAGTAAATGAGAAAATAATTTTATTGTGGTATATCCATAAGAGATAGGCATATACCATAGTGGAGTTCTCTGTAGATCTTTTCAATGTGTATAATACTTAGTACATTATTTTGATAAATCTCGTAGGGTTCAGCCTTCGTTTGCAATGTTAGCGAAAAAATGTAATTATTTACGACATCACATTAGAAACCTCAAAAATAACATTATTTGTCCACTATTTCATGGATGCTCTTATACATATAAACCTTCCTCTTCAATCACTGTATCTACTAAAGAACACCACATCAAAATCCTTTGCGTAGTTTTAAAGATTTAAGCATACATGGGGATATAGGGACAGAGAAAGCAACTTTGTTTTATACTATGTAGTGAAGTATTGCTATTCCTCGCTGGAGAGCTCCGATATAATAAACGTGTCCGTTCGCTGAAAACCGCGGCCTCAGACGCGCTATTTATAGGCACGCACGCTTTTGCCGCACCGGGCGGCCGGCCGGTACCGCCGCAAACGCTACGCCCCGCAATTTTTAAATCTGTAATATCTTCGAAAATATTCACTTAAATCATACGGTGTAAAGGGTTAATTGGTTAAGGATTAATGCTGTATGGGTTAAAATCGCTTCGAAAATTAGCCATTATTTGTCGCAAAAAGTAGATGACAAAAAAAAGTTATTGTGGGTTATCCATAAGAGATAGACATATACCATCACGGACTTTTCTGTAGACGTTTTCAATGTGTACAATACTTAGTACATTATTTTGATAAAACTCGTAGGGTTCAGCCTGCGTTTGCAATGTAAGCGGAAAAAATGTAATTATTTACGACATCACATTAGAAACCTCAAAAATAACAGTACTTCTCCACTATTTAGTGGATGTTATTATACATATAAACCTTCCTCTTGAATCACTCTATCTATTAAAATAAACCGCATCAAAATCCGTTGCGTAGTTTCAAAGATTAGAGCGTACAAAGGGACAAAGGGACAGAAAAAGCGACTTTGCTTTATACTATGTAGTGAAGTATAGACCAGTTATTATTAGACCAGTAATTCTTAACGCCCTGATAATAACGTAAGAAGTTTTTATCAGGGCTTTTCCCATCAATGAAACGTTATTCATTTATTCTTAGAGATTTATATTTTATTTTCAAATTATACATATTGTATTTAAGTTGCTAATGAGTTTTAGTGGTTAAATTGCACTGAGCAAAGAATTATTTTCGAACCTTTTTATGAGAACGCTCATAGAAAATTCAATTCGAACGTGTACATGGACCACCAATGTTACGTGGATCACTGGCTAAGAACCTCTGATTAAGACAGGTAGAAGCGAGTTTTGAACTCGTAAAACTGTAAAAATGTGTATCGTTTGTTCTGACCATAATATCATGGTCATCATAATCGACCTGGTGAATCAACAATTCGTGCTGTTATCACCACATTTCGCACCACGTTTAATTTGTTGAACATTAAACCATTGTCTCGCATGCGTAACAGTGCGTACTGAAGAGAATATTGCAGTCGTAGCGTACAGTGTTAATGAGGATGGTGAAATGTCAATTCGTCACCGTTCTCAGCAATTAGGCATGAGTTACTAAACCGCATGGGAAATTTTACGTGTTGATTTGGGTTTGAAAACATATAACATTCAACTTCTGCAAGAAATGAAGCCGAATGACCTACCACAACGTCTAATTTTGGGTGAATGGGCCTTCGAACAGCTTAATGAGAATCCGCTGTATTATCAAAAATTGTGTTCAGCGATGAGGCTAATTTCTCGCTTAACGGATATGAGTTAAGCCATGTTATATGTTTATGTAAATAAACAAAACTGTCACATCTGGAGTGATGGACAGCCCCATGCCATACAAGAATTACCGATGTATCCAGAAAAAACGACAGTTTGGTGTGGTTTATGGGCTGGTGGCATCATCGGTACATTTTTCTTCAAAGACGACCGTGGAAGAAACGTTACCGTCAATGGCAAACGATATCGAGCCATGATACGCAATTTTTTTTTTGTCCCAGTTGGCCGAGTTGAACTTGGTTGACATGTGGTTTTATCAAGACGGTACTACATGCCACACAGCTCGTAAAACAATGGACATGTTGAAGGATGAATTTGGTGAGCCGCTTATATCTCGAAATGGCCCTGTGAATTGGACGCCAAGATCATGCGATTTGACGCCTGGATTATTTCTTGTGTGGTTATGTGAAGTCGTTAGTGTATGTGTACAAGTTGAACACGATTGAGGACTTACAGCATAACATAACATGCCTAATTCGTGGGATACAGGCCGAAAAGCTCGAAAAAGTGACGCAAAATTGGACGTCCCGAATGGACCATTTGATAAAGAACCGCGGACAACAGTTACATGAAGTTATCTTTAGAATGTAAATGGCGAAGGCCAAGTTATCAATTTCAATGAAAATTTTGAATATACGATGAAAATTGAGTGTTTTATTTGATTAAAAAAAACTACGCTTAAAAAATCACCCACTAAATCCTATTTATGTGAGAACAGATGAGATTTCTAGTAATATTGCCCAGAAAAACCTTTTCAAACATCAAAATCAATCGGATTCATGTGTGTAAGATAATTTGGAAAACTTGATCTCATAATGGGACAACTCAGATAAATAATCGTTCATATCCCAAATTGAACAAGATATTAGCGGGATATTCGTTATTTGGAAATGGAATTTTGATGGCATTATCCCTGTAATCTATTATTTATTCTGATTGTGATTATTCTGATGTGTGCAATCATTTTTATTGTGGTGCTTCAAAATGGCAAGAAAAGGTACAGAAATTTTAAAAGGATATGATTATGAACCAATAAGCGTTCAGTGACTCGACCTTTCTGTCGCCTTTAATACAATTTCCAATACTTAAATTAAAGAATAACTCATTTATAATATGATTACATTCAATAATATTGTGCATAACCAGAAACCAATCGTAGCATCTTGTACATAGTCCAAACATTATAAGATCATGTACAAAATTTGGGGAAGAATTTTCATTGTTTAATGTGAGATTTGGAGTTAAGATTTCACAATAATCACAATATTATCGAAGTTCTTCAAAAATTAACCAATATATAATATAATATAATACCCAATTGTAGAAATACCTCTTCTGAAATCGTGGTCAATAGGGATGATGTTCCAAAATTGATTGAGAAATTTAGATTCTTACTAGGCATTTTTAATAGCAAAACTATGTAATTTCGTATAAAATAAAGAACTGTTATTGCAATTTTCGATACTTGCTCATCTTGAGGACAGATTTCATCTAAAAATTCAGGAAGATAATCGAAATTGAAATCCTAATTATATTTTATGGTTTTTGTTATGAAAGAACGTTCAGTTTGAACAGTTGTTCTATCATGATAAAATATTACATAGTAGGTTACGACGAAGTCCATCAATTATCTGTTATAAATCCCTTTCAAACTAAAAGTAAAAAAACTATAAATTCTTTCATCAATTAATATAAAATTTTAGAAGTTACAAGTGTCCAGAAAAATAGAGGTCGAAATATTATAATATCTGACTCAATACAGTGCTCTACAATCAATACATTCATTCACGAAAATCCCTGTATTAGCAATTAAAGAAGATCTCGCAATTTTACAAAAACATATTAAAATTGATGTAGGTTCATAATCTTGCAGTACAATCAGTATCAGACCCAAATGCTTCAATAAAGTAACATGCATCTTTTTTCGGCAATAAACCATTGATAAATGATCATATTCAAGAAAAATGGCAAGAAGAATATAATGAAATAAATTCTAAATTGAAAATCATAGTTGCTTCGGTTAATTATAAATTACTGTTTCCTCCGAACCGAATTGACCAGGTTAAGTTAACTCGTCTGCGAATTGGCCAC